AAACTCCGACGAAACAGTTTGTCACAGCCCCTCGTTTGTTGTCCTCTTCTCCCTTTCTCCCTCTCTGCCTACGGTTTACCGGGCAGCTCTGTTTGACGATATATAGGGAGAAAGAGAGATGAGTCGGTGAAACTCCGACGAAACAGTCTGTCGCAGCCCCTCGTTTGTTTTCCTCTTCTCCCTCTTTCTCTGCCTACAGATGACCGGGCAGTTCTCTTCTCTATGACAAACGCGGGGCTGTGACAGACTGTTTCGTCCAAGTTGAGCCCTCCAGAGTCTGCAGGGTTGTGTTGATTAGAGGGTTTTTCTTTTCGTGTTGTCGCAGGTGACATTCACCTCGTTGAATTTTCCTCCCAAAACAGGCAATTTTCTTTGGCAGAATGTATGTATATACCGTCATAGAGAACTGCCCGGTGAACCGTAAGCAGAGAGGGAGAAGAGGACAACAAACGAGGGCTTTATATATGGGGTGTGGACTTTTCGTTTCTTGAGGGCGCGAGTGACATTGCTCTCTCGTTCATTTGTCCTAAACAAACAGGCATTTCTTTATTGTTTTCTTTGGCAGAATTGGGCTACAAAACGAAAACGAGAACAGACCGTTTTGCTCACGAGACCCCTCTCTTCCACCTCCTCTCCATATTCGCTGGCGCACCCCCACCTCCACTCGGTCGCATGTCTCTCTCTCTCTCTCTCTCTCTCTCTCTCTCTCTCTCTCCTCCCCCCCTCCCCCCTCCACAAAACACACACACACACGTCCCGACTCACCCTGTTTCACGACGCTGAAAAGGCTTCTTACTGACTTTTATTTTATGTATTTATTTTTAAAATGCGTGTGTAGTGTACGGCACGAGACTTTGGCGGCCTTACGACGAAATCGCTGCGTGCGGTTCATGTCCCTCCCATCAAAAGTACTGCATAATTATTATAATAGTTAATTATAATAAATACACAACAATAGTTTATAATTAGCATACTCCTTCGACCCAACAAGTTCGCGGATGTGACACATCAGGTTCGCGAAAATGCGGCGGCGGTACGAATATGGCGCTCAGCTGCCCTGTCGCATTTTCGCGCTGCTCGTCTCCATTTCGCTCAACCGCGGGAACGATTTTCCAAATAAGCGGTAAAGGTTTCCCCAATTGGTGGGGTACAACAAATTTTCACGTCAACAACAGCGCCCTATCAACCTCGGAGAACCTGAACTCCACTTCGCGCCAGCAAACGAACTTCTCTAAGTGCACCCCCCTCATGTTTTCCGCCGTTTTCCGCCGACGCTTGGGGTAGCTCCTTGCTCGCTAGTCTTGTGCGCTTGGGGTAGCTCCATGCTCGCTGGTCTTGTTCGCTTGGGGTAGCTCCATGCTCACTTGTATTAGGATAGCTGTAGCACCACGTAGCATTCAAGTCCATATGGTGCTACAACAACCCCCAAGTCCATAAGGTGCTACAACAACCCCTAAGTCCATATGGTGCTGCAACAACCCCTAAGTCCATATGGTGCTCCAGCAACCAAGTCCACACAATCTGTTCATGTGTGCCGCCTTCTCAGCTTCTGCCATAGCGCAATAGCCTGCTGAGCTTCTGCTGTAGCGTCATCACCTGCCTGCTGGAGCACTTCATTGAGTGAGCCATCGCTCACATGCTTCCGCTGTAAATACCCTCATCGCCTACTGCACTACACACTCCTCAACACCAAAGTCCGGTACAGGTCTTGGGGAATAAGGGAGATATAGCGGGCTACTATAATTTCTTGCTGTTGTTTTTTTCTCCCGTAGTGGGCTACTTTTTTACTTTTTTTTTCCCCTCACGTAGTGGGACATCGTTCCAACATTACTACACTTACGCAAAGTGAGAGTTGTACAGCGAAATTGATTACGCTATTTCCCACGAGTAGATTTTCCCTTCCCACGAGTAGATTTTCTCTTCCGGTGAAACAGAAACAAAGTGCTTGCTATCTTGAATCTAATGACAGTAGTGCAGTTGAGAAACATACATCACGAAAAGATTGGTTGTCCTCGAAATTGAAAAGTCATGCAGACAAAAAAAAGAAAAAAAAAAAAAGAAAAAAAAAAAAGAAAAAAAAAGTCATGCAGCGAAATTGATAATTTCGTAATGTGTGAAAAAGTTCCTGGGTCAAAGGAGTTGAACAACAATAACTTAACTCTATTAATTAATAATAAATTAATGGGCTCACCCCGGGAGGACATCTGTCGCCGACGCCAAGGCCTGCTATTAATAGAATAGCCACGGTAGAAAGCATTGCTCTACCCGTGCGACAGCTGTGGGACACGCGGCAAAAGTTATGGGATACGAGCCAACGGTTATGGGACACGAGGCAATCGTTATGGGACACGGGAGAACAGTTATGGGACACGGAAAAGCGAGAAAAGAGAAGGTAGCACATTGCTCTAGCCGTGCTACAGCTGTGGGACGCAAGGCAACAGCTGTGGGACACGGAAAAGCGGGAAAACAAAGGTAAAGAGCTGGAGGGACTACCACCCCCACGCCCCCCACGCACCCACCCCACCCCCCCGGGCCCCCCACGAGGGCCTGTTAGTGACACCAACTGTCTGCAGGAAAGAAACAAGAACCGTCCGCGCGGGTCTCCGCAGCACTAAGAAGTGTGAAAACGAGAAGTGCCATGGCGGGTGATGGACCCACCATAAAAGGGAGGGAAAAAAGAGGGGGGGGGCGGGAGAGAGAAGGGGGGGAAGAGGGGGGGAAATGCAGCACAACGACTCTTAGTTCATGGGAGCGTAAGAGCGTCCCGGCTTACGATAGGGGAGTGAATTGCTGAGTATGACAGCTACATTTTTTAATTTTTATTTTTAACATATGACAGCTACATTCAGGTAAGTGTACAAACCTCCCAAAAAAAACAAAAAAAAACAAAGTGTACAAACCTCTTCTGCTCGCGATTATGGGCGGACCCGCCATTCATGCTTGGAACGATATGACGACGCAAAAATGCACTCGAGCAAAATATTCATTGTCAAAAANAAAAAAAAAAAAAATCACTGTACAGTATGACAAACGACACGACACGACACGACACGACACGACACGACACGACACGACACGACACGACACGACACGACACGACACGACACGACACGAGACGAGACGAGACGAGACGAAACGAAACGATACGAAACGAAACGAGTCAAATGCCAATCCACGAACGGACATTTTGTACGAAAGTTTGTACGAGTTCGTTCGTACGGACCTGTTTGTACGAGTTCGTTCGTACGGACCTGTTCGTACGAGTTCGTTCGTACGGGCCTGTTTGTACGAGTTCGTTCGTACGGAACTGTTTATACGAGGTAGTGGGAATTACGGTAATTAACTGCAGTTTCTGATTTCGTTCTTGAAAGTGAAAGGAGCAATTCGCAGAGTAAAAAGAAGCCATGATAGAGAGCAAGGCCGAGGCTGGCCGTAACGCCCCCCACGGTTGATACCCCCCTCCCTTATTCGATCGGTCTGGTGTTTGCCGTCAAGAATAGAGGCAGGACAGCGATGCGCAAGGCAGAAAGGTTTTACTGTAATTTGTAGAGTATTGGACGAACTGCTAGGTCAGTTAATTAGCCCCCTTTTTTTCGTTAAAAAGGAGGCTGTAGGGGCGAGCTAGCACCCGGCCGTCAAGACCCGCGTTCGACTTGGCAAACTGCACATTGCGATGCGGATCCGGACATACAAAAAAAATAGACAACGGTATTTTTTGCATGTCCTCCTCCATTACGTTACTCGGGGATAGACTCCGTTCGATGACGGACGGTTCTTGTTCTTGTTCCAATGCTTGAATGCACTTTGACACAGTACTTTGACCCCGCACACACACAAACACACACACACACACACACACACACACACACACACACACACATTGGACCGACAGTTTGGTATAATTGCAGAGTTGGTTTGAGTAAATGAAGTCGACCCACTTTTCCCTCCCAAGTCCTTATCCTTCGGTCAAATGCATCCTTGGCAAATTCTATCGGGGTTTAGCCTCCTGATGTCATTGAGTCGCAGGTTGTTGACGGAACGGTCAACCGCAGTCGTGCTCTTTTGCGGAGTTGTATATAGCGAGCATGTGCAGCTCTCCACAAATAGAAAGGAGCAATTGTCTGATAAAAAAAAAAAAAAAAAAAAAAAAAAAAGTTGTTTGGAATTCCGTGTCAGGCCCTCCGTCAGCGAAGACGAGGAAGGAGCCGAACTGCATCAGCAGACGCAGTTCGTGCATCCCCTGTTGTTTTAGAAAACACGCACAGGAGCTATTCTTGGCTATGAATGCCATCACCCCCTTCATCTCTGTCACGCTCGTCACATAAGGATATCAAGAAGATGGTCGTCTCTGCAGCTTCATTATGAGCGCGCGTCCCCCCTATCCCCGTCGTACCCACACTCCATATTCATACTCCTAACCAACGATACTGTTACCTGCGCATTCCCTTCCCCGACAGTGTTTTCAAAACGCATCCTCTCTCTCTCTCTCTCTCTCTCTCTCTCTCTCTCTCTCTCTCTCTCTCTCTCTCTCTCTCTCTCTCTCTCTCNTCTCTCTCTCTCTCTCTCTCTCTCTCTCTCTCTCTCTCTCTCTCTCTCTCTCTCACACACACACACACACACACACACACACACACACACACTCGTACAGGCACGCACACACACACACACACACGTCTTTCACAGCTGTAAGACTCACATCCCTTCGGAGATGTATGTAGTTCGAGTGTAGCCTCGGTAGCTACTAACCGTGAGCTCTGCGTCACTGCTCATCCAGCCCGGTAAGAAATTTTCATTTGTCATCACCGTCAGCTGTAACCCCATACGGACTAGCACGTGTTCTCAATCCACGTCTTTCGCTATTTCCCCTGCCAGAGGAGAGCGTTTACTTGGTCCAGTGCCCCACAAATTCGACGCAATACGATGCATAATAATTGCTCAAACGGACAAAGATACCGTAGATACGATATAAAGACATCAAGAGAAAGATAAGGATTTCTTACCTTTTTCAACCCCACGCGATTAAGCTGGCTTCTCCCTTTGTCAGAATTACATCCGTCGCAAGCTAAACGATTAAGCTGGCTTCTCCCTCTGTCAGAATTACATCCGTCGCAAGCTAACTTGCCCGTTTGACATCTCTCTCTCTCTCTCTCTCTCTCTCTCTCTCTCTCTAGCTAGCTAGCTATGGCGCTTCTAATTCATCGAGCCGGCGCGGGCTATTCTGCAGTTGGTTATGGAAAAAAGGGAGTAAAAAACCTTTCCTCGGCCGTGGCATTTTCCCACCAGGGAAATGATTGACAGCTCCCGCCAACCGAACCGCTCGCGGTCGGTACTTGCGCCCGCGCGGTGAGCAACTTGGAGATCGACCGGTGAACGAGTCGTCTACCTCCCGCCGTCGTAGACAATGTGTGACCACGCCCGACCGATAGCCCAGGGCGGAAGCGGAAGCGCGGAAACGGCGGAAAGGGCAGAAAGGACAGCGGGCGCGGAAAGCAAGAGGCCGCGAAAGGGCTAGCGGCGAGGGGGCGCAATCCAAAGCATCACGATTTTCCATGACTATTGAACTCGTCGGCGATTTCACGGAAATCGTCAGAACGGACCAGTCGACATAATCGTCCGCAGATCCCTACCACAGATCCTACGGGCAGTTGTACACACATAGAAGGCGTTGGGGGGGGGGAGCCAAAAAAAGAGAAAGAGAGAGAGAGAGAGAGCAAGTGGATGTGTCCAAACGAGGGAGAGGATGTGTGTGCGGGAGGGGCGGCGGGCGAAATCCAAAAAAGTGAGAATAATGAGAGTTTCGGACCCAACCCAGGGTCAAGGTCCCACTTGCACGGATGAAGAGATTCTGGCCGTTGATCTTTGCGATCTACGGTCAATATCTCTTAATCCGTGCAAGTGGGACCTTGCCCCAGGAGAGGATGCATGTGTGTGCGCGGGGAGCCTGGCGAAGTCCGAAAAAGTTAGAATTAAGGGGTAGCTTCGGCGCAGTCACGAAAACAGTTTGTAATTGCACTTCAGGCAATCCCGCGAATACAACACACCCCCACGCGACCCCACCGGACCCGAAACGTCGGTCATATACATTCAGCATTACCGGCCCTTTCGCCTCAAATGCAATTACAAACTCCAACCCTGACTGCGCCGTAGTTTTCTCTAGAATTAAAAATGGAGTTGAGGACGCGACCCATCCGCTCGTTCCCGATAAAGGAGGTCCAACCGAATGGTACATGACCGCCAAAACAGAAAGGAAAGCCGGTAGGAACGGAAAGCTGGACCAACGGGCCTACCTGTTAGCTCAGTTGATACACACCTGAACTTTTGAAATGCAGACCTTAGTGCTCAGTTCAAATCCTCATTCCACATGGAACTATATAAAAGAAATTTGTGAATTTCCTGGGGGCCGTCAGTTTGACGATGATAGAAGGTAGAGGACGAAGGAGGGGAGACGGACGTTAGTGCAACTTCAGCACTGCGTTAGGTTTGCGTTATCGCCGGGAAGTCTCTGCCTGGAGCAATGGAGCAACTTTTCGTCGCAGGTGCCGCCAACCGTTGCAGCCGTCGGGAGTGAATTCTCGCCAGAATCTCAGGACGGTACCCCATTTGGCCCCTCTGTTCGCTTGTAATCACCTTTCACCTTCCTAGACAGGAAAGAGACGGGATCATTAGTGTTGGTATGAGTTGTTTCATCATCAGCCACTGCACGTAGACTTCAAGTTGCACGTGAAATACTTCCAGGACTGCGAGCGAGGAGTGGAGTCATCTATACTTTTTTTCTTTACTTTCGAAAAAGGTAACAAGAACCCGAGAAGACGCCTGGTTTTTTTTTTTTTGTTTTTTTTTTTGGGAAAAAGGGAGAATTCCATTAAAGACCAAACCATTGAGGCCGGGAATCCTCACAAACAACCCGGAACGACTCAAGACTCAGACTACTGGGCCAGGCCCAGCACGTACATTCCGAACAAAACATGCCAAAGAGAGCTATCAATCCCTTCTATTCACAGGCATAGCTTTTTACGAGATTTTCCTTTCCCTTACCTCCCCCCTACCTCCGCAAGCTACTCAGTCCCCCCCCAGAGTGGGTTTCTTTCGCCCCATGACTCCAACCCCAGCTTACCTACTAACCGACTATTCTACTTACTGTACCTTTTCTACTGTAAGTCCTTCAATCGCTAGTCTACTCTCCACCCGCCTACTGCGGCGGTTGGAACCTAAGTCAGTTCCGCTTACTTCTGGACACTCTCAGAAACCCCCCTCACTTCTGCCTCCTACCGCGGATACCAACCGAGTGTCCTGGTATGTCTAGCTAACTAGCCAATCTGAGAACTGTAGCTTCTCACCACTTCCTACGGTCTAGCTAACGCGCCTTGTTTTTTTTTGGTGACTTCCGCGTGGTTTCCCCTTTAAAAAAAATAAAAGCGGGGGTGCTGGGGCTGGACGGATAGCGCACCACCGTGCCGTTCAGAATCGACGCTTGGCCGAGTGCCCGAGTTAGAACACTCGTGCCACTGCCACATCGCTGACGGAGGGCGAAGAATCCTGCATGCTCGTTCTTCACGAGTACCGACCTGCCGGTCGGATAGGTTTCCTTGTGGCAGCCATCAACTAGATTAGATTAGATTAGATAGGAGAGCCCACCATCACTGAAGCTGCTGAAGAAGAGCGTTCGTCGTCTCGGTGTAGCGGACCCACCACGTGTGGTGCTCCGCTGGTGACAAAGATGGAGATGGAGGAAGAAGGGGGGAGCAAGATGCACAGCGCAGCTCCCCACGCAAGACTCCAACGCACGTACTCCAAAATGTGCCAGTGTAGAATAATCCTGTGATTGATCGCCTAGATGCAAACACGCTTCCGCCAAGAAGCGGAACTCTACCAAAGAAAAGAAAACCTGAGTAGTCCATGATGCGGAGCAAGCTCCATGATGAGTCCATGCGATGCAACCTACGATAGAAAATGTCACAAAACAGCAATGTCACAGCTAACAGCCTAAGTGAAAGCAAAAGCAACTAACTAGCATACATGTCCTAGGAAAGCAGAAGCAACTAACTAGCATACATGTCCTAGAAAAGCAGAAAGTAGTGACAACTAAATCCTAGAATGTTGGAGGCAGTAGCCTCAGTCTGGGAACAACTGACTAGTGTATAAGTCCTAAGAACAGCAAAAGCAGAACAACTAAATCCTATAAATGTCAGAGGCAGTAGCCTCAGTCTGAGAGCAACAAGCAACAACAAGTCAACCATATGTCACAGGAGGAGTGTGTCACAAACCAAAGGGTGGGATGGCCTCTGAGGGTGACGAATGCAGCCTAGGGGTCGAAAACTCCTAAAGGCATCCACATATAGTGACAGGGGAAACACATATCATCAGGCTCAATGAGGGTAGGGAACTGGGAGCGAACAGAACCAATGACCCTAACAGATAGACCATCAGGGCAGGTAATGCTCGACTAAGGGGTGACCGCTATGGAGGGTCGACCATGCAAGGGAACAAGGGAGCCTGGTATACTGGGCGCACCTAGATGAAGCATGCGGGGCTGCCTAACTAGGGCGTGAGGGCCGGCGAAGGGTAGAAAGATGATGGGTAAGGGAATCATGCAAATGACTCCTAAAGTGAGGGAAGTCGGAGCTAGATCCGTAAGATGGGAAGCCAGGGCAACGCTACGGTCCCGATGCCTATGCGTATACCAAGGGAGAGCCCAACTCAGAGGAACTCGGCTAAAGGGAGACCATCATGCGACACAAGCAGGGTACTGTACAGGGTAAAATGGTAAGAGAGTGATGACGTCTGAAGTAGGCAGAGCTGATCGTGACGAAGTCCGTGAAGCTGCCGATGACGTCCACGATGAGAAGTCCAGAATGTCGTCGAGGAAGAGTTGCAACATCAACGAGTTGAAGTAGCAAAACTAGAATGGATGGAGTACTGAGAAGTCAAAGACGTGGGAAGGTAAGTCAGAGTCAATCGTCGTATCGAGCAGGACGACGACGAGTGCGCTGTGGACGCTCAGAAGCATCCGACTGCTGCTGAAGGTCTGCCTAAGAAGGGGCAGGCTCGACTTCATCGGTCTCCTCAGTCGGGGGAGAAGGAGGAGGGTCAGTGGGCTGAGGAGGAGCAGTGAACCCAGCACGATGAGCACGATCATAACCACGCACCAACATGCGAGTGTGCTGCAAGTGCTCGATGGGCTCCCAGGTAGCCTCCTCATCAGGGTAACCCTTCCAACGTACGGGATACTCGACGTGAGGAGGGTTGTCGTCGGTGACTTGGCGACCAATGATGTCTGAAACGAGAAACTCCTCGTGGCCGTCCACCATGATGGGTGGAGAGCGCTCGTATGGTCGTCCAACGAAACGCTCAGACGGTCTGCGATAAGGACGCAGTAACGAGACGTGGTAGACATCGTGCACACGGGGCGTAGGTAGTCGGACAGCTTCACACGGAAGCTGACCGGGCTAGATGCCGTATAAAAACCGACGGCGTGGAGGATGCAGCATGGGCCAAAGAATCGACGCCGAAACTTGCGAAGCGTGCCCGCTTCGAGCTGTAAGTGGCGGGCGTCGATAAGCACATCATCATCGACTTTGAATGGATGGTCCATCCTCGATCGGTTCGCACGTTGTAGGGCCAAACCCCGGTAGACTTTCGAGCCTTAGTCGACCCCACTGCAGGTCCCAGTTGGCTCGGCCCGCCCACACTCATACTCAGGGCGTGGGCCATTCGTCCCAGGGTCGCCCCCACCTAATGCTTTGAGATGGATGGGGGTGGACCATTGCGTGACTGAGCTTTGACATTGGGGATGTTGCTCAGCCCTCACGCCGGGTGGTAGTCTCGCTGGTTGTTCCGCAACGATGATTTTTTTTTATTCTTTGTTGTGTTCTCATGCAATTGCTCCTTCCAATGCGCAGACAGTCCAACGATTCTTTGAGTGTTTATCTTCTCTTGTGCGTAGGCTAAGCGTCATCCTTAGGCCACGCACCATTTCCCTAAGCATTGTGGCTATATGGCGTCATCCGGGTGCGGCGGAATCGTCCTCTCCCTCGCCCCTATGCATCCATTGGGTCTCACAATTTGCTTCCTTCCGTATTGAAGTAGGCCCCTTAGTCTTTTCGGGGTCCTCATATGCATGCACACGCAACATCACATTTTCCTTGGTACAATTGCACTCTCATTTACACTCCAAGTCTTCAAGCGAAAAAATCATTTTCAAGGGTTCGCTCTATGTCAAGTGTCCATAGCCCCTTTGTCCCTCTTTCCTTTCCTTATTGGTGTCCGGTTTCTCTTGCCCTTATCCCGCTCAAGGCATTTCTAGCCACCACTTACCTGCACAATCCCCCCTTTGGGGGTCAAAACATAACCCTTCCCACATGCCTATCTTTTCAAATTCTTTGGTTGCTCTTTGTTCCCTCTTGTTGGTCAATCAGCCCAT